TTTTAAGTGCTGATTTGCCACGTGCTCGCTGAGGTAACCTGCATGTCTGAGAAATAAGAAAAAATAATTTTTCGAAGACATGAAATTCGCCAACACTTCCTTGCCCTAAAACGTCAGAAATGAGGGAAGGTCTGTGCCCAACAGTGGGACGCATATAGGCTGTAACTATGTAGGTATTAAAATAAGTGTAAGCAAGGGTACTGAAAACAAAACACGAATTTCGTTTAATATAATAGTTTATTATGAACAGAATGGTATACATCTAGCATGTAATATGTAAATAGAAACTTTAATCCATTGTCTTACGTCTATGACTGACATTACAACTGTGGGACATTGCACTAATTCCCATCACCAAAATAAAAGGACTAATTTTTCCTTCATCTCGCGTTTGACACAACATTAATAACAAAGTTTTGCACATACGAAACATTAGTGCCCAAAATTTCAAACAAATTATAAAAATATTATCAGAGCATTACAAAAACTTTTTACAAACCACTTAATAAAAACTACAACAAGGATATTTTCTTTATGATACTGCAATATTGAAATGGTAAATAAACACAGCACTTAAATTTATCTCATTGGTGCTTAGAAATAATGAAATGGTCATGTATGATAATAAATTCAGGGGCGCTAAAATTGAAAACGTAAAAATGTTTTGAGTTAAACAAAAATTCTTTTCTTTCAATAATAAAGTAAGATAGTTTGAATTGTTTATATTCCATTGCCACTAAAAGTTCATTATAAACGAATTAGTTTAAATTTCTCTTACTCTTTACCAGAAAACAAATATTATAAGTCCATCGTTTTTCGCTCGGCAAAAACCAGAACAGAAGAAAATATGAATAATAAGAAACATTTTAGTTAATTAATATTCATTTAATTTTAATTTAACAATTAGCATTAACGTAAGGGTGAAAAATTCTAGCGTAGCGTATATAAAGTTCGACAGAATACACATCAGACAACAAACGCATACCAGAAATGAGATCATGTCAATATGTACAGTATGTTACAATCAAAACTCATTACCGGTCAAAATTACTTTCGACTGTAAAAATCAGACAAAAATGGTTTTGACCAATGCCCTTAGTCAGTTTTTTTTTTTTGGTGGTGGGGTGGGGGGGGGTCCCCCCTTTTTTAAAAAAAAAAATTTTTTTATTTTTTTTTAAACCCAAAACTACTTTTACTTTATTTTAGCAGTCAAAAGTGGTTTTGACCGGTTATGAGTTTTGACTGTGACATATCTATTTAAAAATAGAACGAATTTAAGAATTACTTATGCTTGAGAAAATTACTTCTTTCCTTATTATTATTTTCTTACATGTTGATAGTATATTGTTAGCTATTTTATCATTAACCTTAAGTTCTTTAACACAAATAATTGTATAAGAAGTAGTATGTTTTTTAATGAAATTATTATCATAAATTATTTAATTGATATATGATTTACTTGAAAGACAAGGTCACTAAAATTGTTATTGCACCAGGTTTTTTGAACACAATATTAATTCATAAAATTGTTTAAACCGAAATAAAATTACGAAAAATAACTGGCTATGAGAGAAAGAGAAAATGTGCGCCTCGCCCGATCACACTTTTCGTAACGCTTACTCCCCAAGTCAAGCGTGCGTAAAGAAATTTTACTTCAATAAACACTGATCACTTATACTATATATCAAAGGCGGTTCTTTTGTAGACGGAACCCTAATCCTATCACTTGTGACACTTTTCTATTAATATTTGCTATTTCATGTTAAGTAGCGTAACTTTACTTATAGTGTACGTGCACGTTGCGGCAGTGTGCGTGTACGACGGAGCGTTCAGTTGCAAGCGGGCTAGTACACGCACACATTAACACACGACGATACCTCATCATGTGTTAAAGTGAGCGTGTTCCTCGCTATAAAAGTCGCTTATAGTAAAACATCACTTATAGTACTAACAAGTCTAGACGCATACCTACAAATATAACAAAGCTGACTTGAATAATTGACATGTCACAAGGTCAATAATATCTACAACATTACAACAATATTATTATAAATCGCCATTTTTATATATAAAAATCAATTTTCGCCAGTCTCGCAAAAGTACTCGAAAATTACTGGATCGATTTTGATGAAATTTTTTGTGTGTGTTTGTGTGTTGAGGGCGGATCGCTAGTAATATTACATTGTTGATAATTGACAAAAGAACGAACAATTGAACATTAAAAAGAGCTCTTGAATTAGTGAAATTTAAATAATGAAATTAATTCATAAGAAAGCATAAAGGCACAATCATAATCAACTGCCGCAAATTATATTATAAATAAAAAGTACATCGCATTGATTATCATAATTTGTAATCTGCAAATCCATCAATCATTGAGTGACTTAGTCCAATTGACTGAATAATTGACGAAATTACTATTATTGGATACTGTGTCAAATATTTTGTAGCTTAATTAAAGAAACTGCAATAACTATATATTAATTATATAGTTATTGCAGTTTCTTTAATTAAGCGTGATGCCAACTTCACTACGAGGTCATTTGATACAGACCGTTTTATAATAAACAAATATAAATAGAAGATGATACGAAATTAAAGTAAAGGATAATGAAAATAATCACAATTAAATTTCCTGAACAAATTAAATTGTGTTAGCGGCCTTTTAAATTTTGAAATTACGAAATTAAAAAGATTTATAATATAATATTGTAAGCCATAAAAATAATAATTAATGACACTTTACACCGATCATTACTTTTGTTTGTGCATACAAACTTATATCGTTCTGTCTTACTTACGATAAATATTATAAAAAGAATTTTCTTCAGAATTTAACATATGCGCCCCATTTACTAGCTCTAAGTTTATTATAGAGACAGTAAAATAAATTTTCATTAAACTTCATATTGACATGCATCAAACATCATCTTCAAAATTTATAGGCACTGATAGATCATAAATGAGTTTCATTATAAAACACTAAAGTTAAATCAGTCTTACATTGGCATTTCACACTTATAACTTATTATCTAACCGTTAACTGTATTTAATATTAAAGCCAAAATTTAGAATTTCTTTCATATAATATGAAACATATTTGAGAAAAAATACTGCAAGTAGAGCCATGGTAGCTCAGATGACAAGCGCTCATCATATATCTAACAGTAAGGAAGCTCGATCCCGGCGGCACCAATGAAATCGTTAATAGCAATTTTTAGTGCTGCTGCACCTTGTGAATCATGAAAAGACCTACATGTCTAAAATATTTTCGCGGACATGATAAGTCCGCCAAAATCCATTGGATCAGCGCGGATTTTTCGTTTTATACCAAGGATTCCCATTCCCAATTTCGTAATATCGACCCCTTGGGGTCGAAATCAATTTTCCAGGGATGGACATGAACGGAAACTGATAATTTGTAACTGTAATTTGTATTAATAATTATTAATTACACTTGATATTTACTGAATTTTATGACTATTTAATTTGTTAAATTTTAATGAGAAAATAAGATCACTTTAAAACCTACCGCAAAGTTTAAGTATTTTGTATCAATAGGAAAAAAACTAGAGATAGGATTTTTAAAGTAATTTGGTTGTAGGTGTTTGAGGTATCTGTTAATTTTGGAAAAGGGGTTTTTTGTCCAAAATGGTTTGGGAATCCCTGCTTTATACCCTTCTCAGAAATGATAGGTCTACGTCCAGAGTCGGGACATATATTGGCTGTAACTTTAACTTTTAACTGCAAATATTTTTTACTATATTTGAAATGTACACTTAAAATACACACTGATCATTTATAACTTCAAAAAATATATTCAGATTTTTGGTATTGGACAGTCGTAGTTTTAACTGCTAGAACTATCTGATACAGACATTCGCCTGCATTGCTTTCGAAGCCTCATAAGCCCATTGGCCCTGACTATGTAAGCTTATATTACTATCGAGGAAACCTTATAGGTCGCTTGAAAGTTCCGATCTTCTCACTTCGAACCACCCCTCAGAAAAAGTAGATCAACTGGATTAATGGCAGTCGTTTCATTCAAAAACTAGTTCTTTAGATAAAACATACATGTGATCAGTCACCTTACATATAAGCATAAAAAAATGTAAAAACTGACTTATTTAAATTTGGTCGCACATTGACTTGTACATTGACACATTTCAGATGTAGAGGGACAACGAGTATTATTCGACTTAACTGTTGTAACTTTTGACTTAACTATTGTAAGAGTCTTAACTATTTTTACTTGGAATTAAATATAATTGGACATAAGTACAATTACAAAGACCATTGAACAGAAATACAGTCTTATTTTGGGCGTGATAATAATTCTATAGCTCGAATTTTCAATTTCATGATACAATTTTTTTCCAGAAATATATACCGTGGAATACAAAAGTAATTGAAAAAAATAATTTAATTAATGTAAGTGCTTTTAAAATATACTCTTCGAAAGATAATACTGACGATAATGTTTTCATATACAATAGGGTAGTTAATAAGCATGTCTTTTATAGATTGTCATGATGAAAGTTCGCTATGGAAATAGTACGGTTAAATTGTATGGTTACGAGTAAATCATATGTAATACTATTGCATATTATCGAATATTAAAAAGTTACCTTAGCTTAAAACGGAAAACCGATATTTGAAGAATTGAAATTTTATACCATACTTCGTTATTTTTAATGTTGGTGTCACTACCTTATTCGTTCAATTTTATTTAAGTAGAATATTACTTAAGTTCTAGTGTGTATATATATATCATCCAGTATATATGTTTGTAATAATAAGTATTTTAAATCTCTATTGTAAGTGTGTATATCACTAAAACTAATGTCGTAAATTTCTGATAGCCCGCGCCAAAATGTTCCGGTATCATTCATAAATCCTCACACATATAATTTTTATACACCTTGGACCAGACGTAGATTCTCTCTCTAGTTTCTTCTCGACTCTCTCCCTTTCAGTACTAACCACAAGGGAAGTCTACATCATTCAAGACTGGGAGCTAAGAACAGTGGACTAGGTGCCGCACTCATATTGGCGGACTGGAACGATCTCTTGATACTCACGTGCGGGTATTGTAGCCGCCATTCGTTTACCTGTGTCATATATTTTAAATTTACTTATTTGTGTTTTATTTATTATGGCACACGATTCAATAAAAATGGTTACAGTAGATAAACGATAGATTTATAAGCAATCTTACTGTCACAATATTTTTCAAACAACCGATAAGTTCTAAATTTTAGTTTTAAAAAAATTATTTATTCATATTATATGAATATAATAGTGGTTTGATTGTAGATAGATAGATATATAACTCTTTATTACATTTGAACAAAGTTATAACAATAACGGAAAACTTATGACTACAGACGGTGGTCATATTGCTTTAAGCGATTTCTGCCTGACAAACCGAACATAAAAGGACATTATAATTTTATATTTTGACGGATAGGTGCAACGTGCAATATGAAATAAACAGAAAAAAAATATTAAAAATAATATTTATAAAAATATATTAATAATATATACAATATTTAATGATTATTAATATGTCTCGTATCTCTCCTACCCGGGGTACAAACTGGAACACTCCAATGTGCCTCGGGCTGTATTTTGCGTTTACGTCAGAGAGGACATCTGTTCTCGACGCCTCGGCAGACTTGCAAGGTTCGGACCCGTCCATCCTTTGGCTACGCGTAGACAGCGACGACCATCCGCGCGTCTACGGGTGCCTCTATAGGTCCCATAGCGGTAATGCCGAAACAGACCAACTCTTCGACCACGTCCAAATGGCTACAGATTCGTTGCTACAGCAGATCCCCTCCGCAGAGATCGTGATCCTCGGCGACTTTAACGCCCATCATGCCGAATGGCATGGTTCACGTTTAACTGATCATGCGGGGAGATCTGTTCATGATTTTGCCTTGGCATATTTATTGGTCTGACACATCTGATTACTTCGCCTACGCGGATTCCAGATGTGGAGGATCATACACCTTCCCTGTTGGACCTTCTGCTGACCACTCACCCGGACGGACTCACTCCTCGGACCATTGTCTTGTCCGGAGTGTGGTGCCACTCACGCTGAAATCGCAGTTGCATTCTGCAGGCTGCCGCCGTGTTTGGCACTATAGGTCAGCCGATTGGGATGGGATGCGGTCTTTCTTTGCATCCTACCCTTGGGGGCGGGTTTGCTTCTCGCCGGACGATCCCAACGTTGTTGCGGATTCTGTCGCTGATGTGGTACTTCAGGGTACGGAACTTTTTATTCCTTCCTCTGTGGTGCCCATTGGAGGCAGATCTCAGTCATAGTTTGGTTTCTCTGTAAAATAGCACCAAGCTATAAGCAGGAGTGCTACGAAGCCTGGGCTGACGCATCAGCGTCCCGGGATGTAAATACCAGCGCTCTAAAAAAGAAGTATAATTCCGCCTCCAGGTCCTTCAAAAGAGTCATTGCCAAGGCAAAGTCAGAGCACATAGGCAGAATTGGCGAGAAACTAGTTCGCCTTGCATCTGGTCTCTCGCCAAGGCTGTCCAGGGGAATTACTGTCAGCCATCTCTGCACAGGGAGGACGACTCACTGGCCCATACCGCAAAGGAGAAAGCCGATCTTCTAGGCTCTTTCTTTGCGTCCAACTCGACTTTCGATGACGGGGGGAGTACGCCACCGACCATCCCGCGGTGTGAGTGCTCCATGCCGGAAGTGCAGTTCACACAGCGCTCGGTTCGCAAAGCACTCCTCTCCCTGGACATTCACAAGTCGAGTGGGCCTGACGGAATCCCCCCAATTGTGCTGAGGACGTGTGCTCCGGAGTTGGCACCGGTTTTAACGCGTCTTTTTCGGTACTCCTACTCCCTAGGCGTAGTCCCAAAATCATGGAAGACGGCTTTCGTCCACCCGATCCCTAAAAAAAAGCGACCGCTCAGACCCGTCCAACTACCGGCCTATCGCCATCACCTCCTTGTTCTCCAAAACAATGGAGTCATTGTAAACTGCCAGCTCATGAGGTACCTTGAGGATCACCAGCTGATTAGTGACCGCCAATACGGTTTTCGCCGTGGTCGGTCAGCTGGTGATCTTTTGGTCTACCTAACTCACAGATGGGCGGAGGCAGTAGAGTCCAAGGGGGAGGCATTGGCCGTTAGTTTGGACATTGCGAAGGCCTTCGATCGGGTTTGGCACAAAGCGCTTCTTTCGAAGCTCCCTTCCTATGGGCTTCCCGAGAAATTGTGCGATTGGATCACCAGCTTTCTTGTAGATCGGAGAACTAAGGTCGTTGTAGACGGTGCAAGCTCTGATTGCAAGCGTATTAATGCTGGTGTTCCACAAGGCTACGTGCTATCGCCACCGCTGTTTCTTCTGCGTATCAATGATATGTTGCAAACCCGTAATATTCATTGCTATGCAGATGACAGCACTGGTGATGCTCTTTATACCGGCCGAGCCAATATTTCTCAGGAAAACGTATCCGAGTGCCGGGACAAACTTGTGTCTGAAGTCGAATCTTTGCTGAACGGGGGGGGTTCTTTTCCCAGAAGCAGTTTCGCGTACCTCTACCCCTTTGTCGTATCTCCTCAGTTTTAAAGGCACTCCCTTTGTTGCCTCAGCCAGTATCGGAATCCTCGGCGTCGACATATCGAGTGACGTGCAGTTTCGTGGTCACTTGGAAGAGAAGGCCAAATTGGCCTCTAAAAAGCTTGGCGCGCTCAGCAGAGCGGGACAGTATTTCATGCCGGCACACCGCCTGCAACTTTACAAGGCGCAGGTTCGGCCGCACGTGGAATACTGTTCCCATCTCTGGGCTGGAGCTCCCCAGTACCACCTCCTTCCACTTGACCGCATCCAGCGCAGAGCGGCCCGAATCGTCGACGACCGAGTGCTTTCCGATCGGCTCGGTTCACTGGCACTGCGAAGAGATGTTGCATCGCTTTGCATTTTCTTTCGCATATAACCAAGGAGAGTGCTCTGAGGAATTGTTCGGATTAATCCCAGCCGCCAAATTTCGTGAACGCACTACGCGGCAAACGTCCCGATACCATCCACACCATCTGGATGCTCGGCGGTTCACCACTGTACGTTTCAAAAGGAGTTTTCTTCTGCGTACAACCTCTCTGTGGAATAGTTTACCACCGGCGATTTTTCCGGACCGATACGACCTTGGGACCTTCATGAAAAGAGCTTACTCCTTTCTAAAGGGCTGGCAACGCACCTGCATTTCCCCTGGTGTTGCGGTTGATCATGGGCGGCGGTAGTCACTTAACATCAGGTGAGTCGCATGCTCGTTTGCCCCCTCTTCTTTAAAAAAAATTTAAAAAAAAATTCTTGCTGGTTCTTCCCAGGACAAAGGTTTTCTTTCGAACCAGTGGTAACGTAAAATATTGACTTTCAATAAGAATTACTTGTAATCCATATTGAATAAAAGATTATTCTATTCTATTCTACTTATGCTGTAAGATATAAGAAGTATATTGCCATACAGTCAAAGAAACCAGAGAAAGAAAATTCAGATAATTTGTGTCGCTAAAACGTTGATGGGTGATTTAAACCTTGAAGTCGCGAAACGAAGTGGCTATCCACGTGTGCTAAATATGCGGTTATCCATTCGTCTTTATCAGCCCTTTATAAGACATTACCAGACATGGGCCACTATAGGAATTATTTGCCATAATCTCCAAAATTGTCAAACTAATCGTGGACTTTACATATAACTTTGGCCTTTAAGAGATTGATGTCACACTACAATGGAATACCTCGTTATTAGACATTACGTCATTATTGCATAGCATAATGGGTCTTATCACTTAATGTAGTACCAACAGCAATATTATGTCGTCATTTTATAGTTATAGATATAAATACATTTCAATGATATGCTTTTGGCCAAAATTTTATGTCATCGATAGCTGGTGATTGGTTCTGGATGGTTAATGGCGATGGAAATTCATAGAGTGGCGGCAAAGTTTTCAGAAAAACAGTACCTAGAATATTGCTGACGTTATTTTTGTCAGCCTACCGGTTTGTCGGAACATTTTTCATATTCACCACACTTGGTTATCGTTTAGTTTCGGTGTAAGAATATCCACTATCTCATATCATCCCGTGGATACCGTAAGAGGCGACAGACGGAAACATGTCAGGAGATGGGCAGCAGCATCTTCTTAATAACGACTAAAAATAAACGCGGTTGCCAATCCGCTTTCCACGTATGGCAACTATGGTAAATATCCTCCTTATGAGGTAATCTATGGGGGAGGCCTATGACCAGCGCTGCATTTTAATAGGCTGTAACGGTAACCACACATGGCAGGCCGATTGGCAATCAGTCGTCAGACTGAGTACATATTACATCTGGATAGTTAACACCGCCATCTATCGAAGGATGAGTTTTTTTGGTATTTCCCATGTCATGCGCAAGATCCTTAATGGTAAGAAGCCATTCCATACCTATTTGAGAGGTGACAATCGCAATTTATTAAAATAATTCGAATCTTTCCATGACAAAATAGATATGGAGCAGCTAGAGAATGTAACTTTTAGATGGACTACTTTAATAATTTCTTATATTTACGCGAACACTACACATTTAAATAATACTAGTTTTTACGGATTTTATCGCGTATATTTAACTTTTAAATACCCGACGTTTCGAGCACTTTGACTATGGGTGCTGTAAAGTGCTCGAAACGTCGGGTATTTAAAAAGTTAAATATACGCGATTAAAATCCGTCAAAACTAGTATTATTTAAATAGACTACTTTTCAACTTTACCGGGTAAAAGATATGGTAGCACTATCATATTTCTAGTTAACAATGCACTCACTACTGTGTACTAATTTGAAAGAATTAGGTACAAACTTTTAAAGGTTGGGAGGTTTATTTACCTGAGATTCCAAAATTTGATCACAGAAGCTGACATCTAACAGTCTCAGCTCTTGGCATCGCGCTAATATACTGAAACAACAATATTTTTTTTACCTTTGATTCATCATCATCATCAACATCATCATTACAGCCTACCACATGTCCACTGCTGAACATAGACCACCCTCAAGGAATGCAATTGTACGTGGTAGAGCCATGCTGCAGTTATAAGTAGTATAGTTGTAGCAGGAATGGGTCAGCTCGACCGGGGAAGGACCACGCTCTCACAGAATACCAGCGTAAAATTGTAGCTTAATGCTGTTGTGTTTCGTATGGTGAGTGTAGAGAACCGAGACCCTTTTACTGAAAACGAGGAATTCCATCTTAGTCCTCATGGGTGAAAGCATCTGCATTTGATTCGTAAACGAGGATAGATGTAGATGTCTATGGGCCGCAGCAACCACTTACCATCAGGTGGACTGTGTGCTCGTTTGTCACCCTATCCTATAAAAAAAATGCACAAAGCACGGTCCTAAGCTGCCTGCATCCATCGACTTCCTTTATCTCATCTCTTATAAGGTCGCTCCATCTAGTGAGGGGTCACCTTACATTTTGCTTACGTAGTTATTGGATACCACAAAAAAACACGATTACATTCGTACATCTATCACACCGGTTCGCTTGGCTACTGGCTACTTGCGTACGGCCACGGCTATTGACATAGTGATACGAGCTATCCCCTCCAAGTTTCGTTCAGCGCTAGAGTTACGTGCCGCGACTTGTAACCTGCTTGCCAAAGGTGACAACTATGGCAAATATCCCTCTTATGGAGCAAGCTATACGGTCCATGGTGGACTTTGATGATGATGATTGTGGTGGTGGTTATGGAGGTGTTGGTGGTGGTGGGGGGGGGGAGAAGAGGTGGTAGAGAGTGGTGGTAGTGGCGGTGGTGGTAGAAGAGGTGGTAATGTAAGTGATGGTAGTGATGGTGGTGGTGATGAAATGTTTCTAAAGCATATACTTCAATATTTATCTGAACCGGATGTAAAATTCTAAGTTTAAATACTGTGACACATTAGTACAAACAAATACCGAAATAATAAAATTTCTTGTGTGACTATAGAACCCCTATACACTCTGCGTTATAGCATAGTGCGCGTGACAGCTTACAGTTTGGCGTGTCTAGTGATGGAACAATGTTAAATCAATTTAAAAAAGGCGAATAACGATACACAAAGCTAAGCAAAAATTAGCGTTTAACTATCGATATAAAAATTAAAACCAAATATATATTTCTTTATAAACTACAATGCATGTAAAATTAAGTTAAATTTTAATACAAATTATGACATAATAGTTACATATTAGCGGGTATGCATGGTAGCTGGTATGTATCGCGTGGTATTTATTACGATTGGATTCCATAGGTTTTAATTTTTTAGCACGGAATCCTAATTATTTTTCTAACATAAAAGTAGCCTGTAATACTCCTTATAACATCAGCTATCTGCCAGTGCTAGATGTAAGCCGGAACAAAAAGACAGACAAGCAAACATTTTAAAAATTGTTTTTATCTTTTTAAGTAGAAGTAGAAGAAGGGAAGGGAATTTCGATTTTACAAACAGACACTTGAATGTATAGACTATATATTCGTGTTGCCAGGTCCAATGGGCCAAATATCGGGACGAAAGGTAAAAATAATCGAGAATTTGGTTAACAAATCTAATGAAATAAAAACAAGTTTTTTTTTTGTAACCATTTTTTCTATCTTTATGACACAATGTGCACTATGCGTTACTATTTATTTTTGTTGCCTGAACCATTGAGTTATACAACACTAGAGGAGCAAACCACATTACCGCGCGTCGAAAAAAGTGTAACCACTATCCAAACGCGACGACGTAGCTTTGAAACTAATAACAATTTTAAGTAAACATATATCTATCTCACTTACACAAGTTGCGAAAACAATATCATCGTCGTAAGATTAGATAAAGATAGACACACAAATATGCAATGGCGGGTTGGTGTGGCTTACTATACGAAATTTTACCTAAAATACGCAATAAAAATGAGTTTTTTTTAGCTGCAGTTAATTGTTTTTATATTAAAAAAAGTATATTTTATTTTAAAATATTTATTACGTCCCCTTAGAAAAAAAGGGATACAAAGCTTATCAAATGAATAGAAGTAAACATAATGATGAAATAAAACGTATTTTATTGGTTCTAATAAATCAAACAATATAAAATAGGTATCTAATAAAATATAATTAATATAAAATTTATATGAAATTATAAATAATATAAAATTATTAATATAAAATAGGTAATAAAATAAATTTAATAGATAAGAATAATTAATTATTTTGTATAAAAGTTAAAACGTAGTTTTTACTATAATTTCCAAAATATTTAAAATCAGAGGTAATAAATTAACTTACTCCATTAATTATTAGTCTCCCATTAATGTAGGATAATCACAAATGCGGAAAAGTGGCAACATTGAACCTAAATGGCAATATTCGATAATTTTATTTAATTATTTGAGGTTTTTTACGTTTATATGAAAACAAGAACTAAAAATTATGTGTTGAAAGTGATGCCGCTTGATTTATTACGTTTTTGTGACCTTGAATAGCATTCTTTCACTACACATTTACCCATTTTTGTCGCGACTCAACTCTGTCGGCGTCACATTGAACAATGAACACGTTAGCTAGGCATATGGCTGTGGCCATATGTGCAGTGGCAACGCTTTGGCGCGGTTATTACTGATCTAGGGTTATATAAATCAATGGCCTGAACAGACCAACGAATAATTTATGGTCTATGCACTGAAAACACTGCATATTCGTCTATGTGCGTTATCTTTCGGTAAATCAGAATTTGAACCGTTAGTTCCAATTCTAATACATAGTTACGTGATTTTTTATATTCTATTTATTTCAAAACAGATTTTTGATAGTCTGTAGTTGTTCGTTATGGCATGGCACAGTTTAGCGTAGCACATCACGATCGTAAGTGGGCGGTACCCATCCATGAAGTACAACAACATCTTTATGACAGTTTATCTAAAAAAAATACGAAACTTCATAGGCGTGAGCTGTCATTCGCATCATGCTACAACGCAAAGACTATAATGGCGGCCTCACATTATCGCCGTGAATTCACGCGCGAATTCACGCCATGAATTCACGGCACAAGTCGTGCCATCCACATTCACGGGATGCTCACAATAGTTCGTAAAAACCGCCGCAAAACGGACGTAGAAACTGCTGCCGCAATAACTTGATGCTGGACCATGCTCGAGCTTGCAGGATGCATGTTCGAGCATGCGCGAGCGCGCTCGCACCGCCGCCGGCCACGCTCAGTTTTGCCGCAGCTAAAAAACTGTTTGGACGTGTGTTTAATTTATACCTATAAGCGCGTCTCATAAATGGACGAAGAAAAGTTGATAAGTTTGGTGCAGCGTTCTGATTGTCCGTACAATATGTCAAGTCCAACATACAGCGATTGTATGTTAAAAGCCAATGCTTGGGAAAGAATCTCCACCTTTCTTCTACCCATACTGTTCTTCTAATTTTCTGAAGTCTGATTTCATTAATATGTTCTTCATTTTCCTCTTCCTTTGCTAAAAGGGCGACAATCACTCACTCAATCGTCTCAATCGATCATATTGAACACGTCTATCAACGTCGGATTTTGGCATCAAATTGGTAATGCACGCCCCCCTAGCAACCCAGAGCACTTTCAATGGATCTTGCTCACGGAGGCGCGCGGATACCGCCTGCGTGGTCGAGTAGTCAAAATTTTGCTCGAGCATGTGCGAGCATTTTGCAGTTCGGTCTGCGCTTACCCTTAGACGTCCAAAACAAGAAATTTATTACAAAACTTTGGAAAAAAAGAAGATGGTGTATGTTTAAAATACATGGTCCGTAAGCCTTTGGAGTCCGAAACAAACTAACACGGGGCCGAGAATGTGGAGCTGCAGTATAATAATGATATAGGGAACACTCACTCGCTGCAAATATCAGGTGTGACTGCTCTGACGCCCAGCAGGTCTAGTTGTGAGAGTTTTGGGGCGCGTGGTATCAAAGAACGGAGGTCGCGGTCGCAAACACCACGCAAAGCTCCAAGAAACAGTTTGCGAAGCTCTTTCCCCTCTAGAGAAGCCAACCACTCGCCTGAACTGCCCGCTTGTAAGCTGTTTAATAACAAATTCATTATACATTATTGTATCATAATCAGCGTTTTGTCTGTAGTGTGAAATATATATATATATGGGTAAAAACCAGTCGCCAAGCACGAATAATTTCGTACAATGACCTTGCCTCCTGCCAGTGGTCGAAAACATTTTAAGATAAGAGAGAATATAAATAATAAAATCTCTAATATATGTTAATATTAATCTATAAAATAATAAAAATCTTTCCACTTTATTTACTATGCACAAACGTACTATAATTAGGCCAACTTAATAGATTACATTTGACGATTCATCAAAATTCAAAAACGTAACCTTGTAACGGCGGGCATAAATATTATTTATTTTTCGAAGTTAGAACTGCACAACTGCTTAACTTTTTTCAATTACGATTATATATATATTTTATTTATTTGCTTTTTTCAGGGAAACATACAGTACAATAAAAAAATACATTATAAAACAAAAATAAGTAATCCTAAAACCAATGAAGTTTCCACAGACATCTAAAACATATTAAAAGCTTGCAACCACAATATGTTTAAAGATTGAAAAAAAATAACTAAATGGTATTTATAATTAAACATTAAGTACCAAGCATAAAATAAAAGTAATACAGTACACACAACCTATAGTGAAGCTACCAATTATAAAATAAGTTTTACAATATTTTTTTATAACTATTATATTTAAGGTGAAAAATATCTAGTTCACAATATTTTAAGTTAAAATTTTTACATGTACGAGATACAAAATTATTTGAAGCATACTTCGTTTTTACTTTACGTAATGCAAAAAGAGGCTTTTTTCGTGCACCTAACCGGTGACACGCAAGATTCACTTTGCTAAAGTAGGGGAGAGTCGATGATATTATATAACAATTTGTACAACAACATTTGATCTCTTATATCACGGCGTTTTTCGAGTGTATAACTGTGTAAGCTATCAATAATGGAGTCTACAGAAGAATCATATCGCTTTAAGTGACTTAGAAACTTATTATTGATTGCTTCAATCATTTTAACATAAACTTTGTATTTACAAACAAAACAACAATTTCTGTTCTAAAGAAAACTGAACGTCGTTACAATGTTGCGTCAATTAACCCTTTTTCTTTTTAAACACGATGGGTATTACCCAAAAAAAAAAAAAACAAATGTTGAGAAGTAGATTCCAATGCAGTGATTATGTATGTACTTGTGAAGGAATATTTCACCATAAATGAATAACCACATTGTGATGATAATAAAACATAGTATTATTTTAATTAACTATAAAAATACAAAAATTGTACAATTATTTTGAACGTGAATCAGTTAACGATGCGCCTCTTTTACCATTGACACCACAGAGGGAACGTGTTACCGAAGCACTGGGAATAGGGAAGAGGAGTAATAATAATCAATCAATCAGTCAAATGCTCAAAGAGAAAAACGGACCATCAGGCTCAGAAGATATTATTTTACATACAATGAAAAAAATAAAAAGGTACAAAAAATTTATTGGCGTTGATAATTTTGATGCTGCTGCAATTGGCAACCATATTTTATATGGATATTACTCGAGAAAAGGATATCATACACGGAAAAAGCTATTGGGTTAGCTATTGGGTTCGTTAAGCATGGACACTAAGTTATTTGATTGCCTGCCTACCATTGCCAGTATAACGCTATCGAGCTGATTTGGGCACAAATAAAGAGTCATGCAGCAGGGGATTATACTGAACCACCCTTCAGTACTACTAAAATGCTGACGCTGCTATAAACAGCATGTGCAGAAGTCACTACAGAAGAGTGGAGAAAGGTCGTGGAGAAAACAAAGGAAGTAATTTTACAAAATTTTGAACGAGATGTGAATATAGACAATATTAGTGAAAATTTATTAATAATATCTCTGAGTGCTGATATCATTGATGGAGATGACAATACTAGTTACAGTTCTGAAAGTTCAACTGAATAAATGCAATTTTTAGTTAAAATATGTACTCATCTTATTTTGTTCCTTAAATTTACGATAGAAAATAATAATGGGACAGGGATTCGACTGCTATTTTTTTTAAATAAAATTACAGTACCTATTCAGTTATTATGAAAAAGTACTTATAGGTACTGTAATTTTTCTCACACATTATGTTTGAAGTCTGTATCGATTTACTATAAAGCTAAAACTGACAGATATCTAACGTGATCTATTAAATTGGCCCTACTATAAATATATTATAAAGTCGGCGAAAAAGTTTCTTCGTATTTTATATACAAATTCAAGACATTTTTTATAAGTTTAATTACATTTAATTATAATATTGTTACGAGCTTGAGGTTCGTGACAATAAAAATTGCCGATAGAATTACCTAAATTAACACTTTAATTCACTTTACAATAATTAAAGTTAAAAAACACTAATAATTAATCACACTGATTCACTTTATTCCGCTCCGAAGCTTCGCGTGTCTCGCCAACTTCAATACTTCCCCGATCGCGTATTGCAGCGCCTTTATATAGGGCTCTTCCACGAAAACATCCAGAATATTCGAGTAAATACGCGCGCCAACCGACCAAGCGCAGAAAGATCGAGTGTAGAGCTTCTAGAAAGTTTAATTCTTCTGTTCGATACTAGATGGCGCTAGTTCCCTCGACTTCGGCGCGTAACACTGCCCCCTCCTAAGACATGCTCGTCCCGAGCATTATCGGCCCCATAATATCGCGCCAGGCGATCCACATGGACGATCTTAGGAGTCCCTCTTGCGCCTTTCTGTAACGGCTCCGCAATTTCAAGGGCTGTCCTATCCCATGGTGCACCAACATTGTACAATTTCGGTGCTCCTCTACTACGTGTCTGAGGTCCCCTCACGGCCGCACAACTTGTACATGTACGACACCAAGCCTCGACATCGTAACGATAATGGACCCAGTAAAACTGTTCTCGGACCTTCAGCAGAGTTCGTTTAACTCCCAGATGGACTCTTGAACGACCATTATGGCACAGCTGTAGAACATTCGGCACTTTAGTTTTAGGGACAATCATTTGCAAACGACAGCTGTCTCCTCGACCACTGTCCCATTTACGGCACAGGACTCCATCCTGAATCAGCAAGCCGTCCCACTGGGCCCAATAGCCTCTAGTGGTCGAACTTATCGTTGAGACGTCGCTCCACTTAGGCTTGGAAGCACGGGCCTTCATCCATTCCAGAATCGGCCTGATGTCCGGATCTTCCTGCTGTGCATGTCGTAGGCTGTCCTTCCACTCGTTGCCGAGGTGGTCTGTCCTGAGCATCCTCACGGATACCACTTCCTTACTCTTTTGCCTAGTACAATGTTTCCAATCTTCAGGACAAGGTCTTCTTGACAATGCATCTGCGTTGCCATGAGATTTCCCGCTGCTATGTCTGATAGTAAAGTCGTATCCCGGCTGCCGCTGGGCGGTGATGTTAGCCGCACTTCCCTTTTGAGATCGTTCACCTTCCCTTTCTAGGGTTCGCTTAGGGCAGCTGGATCGAAGATGGCCCCTTTCCCCACAGCAATAGCACCTAGGGCTGTAACCTTTACTGTGGTCGCGAACTGCTGTAACCTCCCTAGCGTGAGGGGAATGATGTTGCTGCCACCGCCAGGCGGTGCCGTTAGCTGTACTACCCTCTCGAGATCGATCAACTTCCCTTTCTTCAGTTCGCTTAGGGCAGCTGGATCGTAGATGGCCCTTTTCCCCACAGCCATAGCACCTAGGGCTGAATCCTTTGTTGCGGTCGCGAACTGTAGCTGCTGCGATCTCCCTGACGCGATGGGAACGATCATCCTGCCGCACGGCTTCCACCTCCAGTGCATGGGCCAAGGTGTCCTTAAGTGTCTCGTGGTGCCCGAGCCTTACAGCAGCTCTGACTTCCAGGTCGCGGATGCCGTCGATGAATGTCTGCACCAGGTTCCCTTCAATGAGCGCAGGTACAGACCGGTATGCTTTCCGCACCAGCTTCTCCACCTCTAGAGCCCACTGCTGCAGGTTTTCGTTGATGCGCTGCACGCGATCTTTAAGCTGCGCGCGAAAGACGTGTTCCAGGTGAGCGTCGCCATATCTCGCCTCCAAGGCCTCAAGGAGCTGCTCGTAAGTCACTTCCTCACCGAGAGCTTCCAGAACAGTTAAGGCCTGGTCGCGCAGGCCTAGTGTGAGAGCAGTCATGGCCTGACTTTTATTCCAGCCGTTTGCCTTCATAACAGCCTCGAACTGGATTTTGTAGGCCGCCCAGGAAGAAGTCCCGTCGAACGGCGGCACTTTGAATCCACGTACTGCAGGTGTTGTAGCTACTACGGGATGTGTAGTTCCATCCCCCAGTTTGAGATCGTCCAGCGTTTTCTTCACATCAGCCACCACGTTGTCTACCCGATTGTTCACTTGGTCGATTTGGGTTTTAGCTTCCTTGATTTGGGTTTCAGCCTTCGCGATTTGGGTTTCAGCTTCCGACAGGCGGTTGTCATGCTGAGCAACCCTATCCTTAACCTCCTTTATCTCCTTCCCGAAGGTAGCGTGAAGATCCTTCATGAGGAGCATTTGCTTTTCCAACCGACGGGCCTGTTCCTCTTGTCCACCCCGCAGCTGATCTTCCAAACGACGGACCTGTTCTTCTTGTCCGCCCCGCAGCTGCTCTTCCAAACGACGGACCTGTTCCTCTTGTCGGCGGGTCTGTTCATCCTGCCCGCCCCGCAGCTGCTCTTCCAACCGACGAACCTGTTCCTCCTGTCGGCGAGCCTGCTCCTCCTGTCGGCGAGCCTGCTCCTGCAGCATCACCATCAGAGCACCTAAGTCAGGTGCTGCAGATGTAGGGGCTACTGACGGGCCTGCAGCCGGCGGCTGGCCCTCCGACGTCTGCGGCGTTGCACCACCAAATCTTCTTTGGTCCGTCTCCTGCTGGCGTTGACTTCGGGTACGGACACCCTCCGTTTCCTCCTTAGGTAAAATCGGCATGATTTTATCCCACTTCTGACACCAATTGTTACGAGCTCGAGGTTCGTGACAATAAAAATTGCCGATAGAATTACCTAAATTAACACTTTAATTCACTTTACAATAATTAAAGTTAAAAAACACTAATAATTAATCACACTGATTCACTTTATTCCGCTCCGAAGCTTCGCGTGTCTCGCCAACTTCAATACTTCCCCGATCGCGTATTGCAGCGCCTTTATATAGGGCTCTTCCACGAAAACATCCAGAATATTCCAGAATATTCGAGTAAATACGCGCACCAACCGACCAAGCGCAGAAAGATCGAGTGTAGAGTTTAATTATTCTGTTCGATACTAGATGGCGCTAGTTCATGTGCTATTTTGTTCGATAACTCGTTGCCATCTCGTAGGTAGTGACATAATCTTGTTGCTGTAGAAATCTTGGAATTTTTGATAAAAAATATGCCACAAGTAGTGTTGACAGTCTCCTCTTGATGTTAACCCAAAACTACCCCAAGAATTCTGAAGAGAACTAAACAGGTAAAAATCTGAGGGTGCGAGGTCCGGACTATATGCTGGATGCATTAACACTTCCTACCCAAGCCCTTTCAATTTTTGCTGAGTGGTCAAAGATGAGTGCGATCTGGCGTTATCATGATGACAGACCACTTCTTTTCTGTTGATCAATTCCGGCCGTTTTTTTTTTCCTATTTCTTGCTTGTATCTCATTAGTTGTTGGCAGTAGCGATCCCAATCTATGGTTTTGACCGCCGGTAAAAGCTGATAATAAACGATGCGCTTCCAATCCCACCTTACATATCTACAGCATCACCTTATTGTGTGTTAATCCAGGTTCTGCTACAGTCTGTGGGGCTTGACCATGTGGTTGTGGGGGTCTTTGACCATGATCTTTTTCGCATGTTCTTGTCGTAGGTGATCCACTTTTCATCACCAGTGATCAATCTTTTCAAAAATGGTTCGGTTTCATTACGTTTCAATAGAGAATCGCAAATGAGTGCACAATTCTAAGTTTTCTTTCAATGAGCTCGTGTGGCACCCAAATATCGAGCTTTTTTGAATAGTCAAAACTCTTTTGTGGTCACTCAATTCCTAGGGTATGTCGTAACTACTAATATGCCGATCCTACTCCACTTTTTAAAAAATGGCATCGACTATATCCGTATGATGACGACCAGAGCGAGCTGCATTTTTGACATCCAAATTCCCGACTGAAAACGCTTGAACCAAGTTTGTGCTGCTCTTATTGACACTGCATTGGGTCCATAAACGTCTTTTTTTTCGTGGTTTAATTCGCATTTTTCCCTTTTTTATAATAAAACTTCAGAATGTATCGAATTTCTTCATTAGATTCACTAATTTTGGCGTACAGAAAAACAATCGAAAAATGGCGGGAAAGTGTATTCTATTTTTATTTTTCTATGTACTATATGTATTGATATTAAAACGAGCCAAATACAAACAGTACAACCAAATAGAATCTTCTTCAATTCTATACAAACAAAATACGAAGAAACTCTTTCCCCGACCTTTTACTATCCGACAAAAAATAACTTTGTAAAAATAGTACCTTATGACATAAAAACGATATAATTATTCTCGTTCTGACTCACCACCAGCCCACATCCAACTCTTGCAGCATCTTGCAGTTCCCGAGCGACCTGATACCAACGGCGGTCAACGAATAAGATTTCCAAAAGTCTACAGATATGAGTCCAGGACAATTGGCACCCAAAGCTATCGCCACTTCATCCATTGCCGATATCATTTTGCAAGAACCTAAAATAGAAAAAATAATTACAATAACCGGTTAAATGATACACATCGAGCTTTAGAAAGAGAAAATCTGCTAACCGCAGCTTCGTAGAGCGTCGTTTCTGCTCATACCTGTGTGACGTTTTGTCGCCGACTTGTCAGTAGTTGTACTAGATCATAATGGGTATGTTCCAAAACGTTTTTAGTATACTTCCGAATATAAATGACGTCATCAATTGACACTATATTGTACTGGCGTGCCGCCGCCATATTGTGTCGGATATCCGGCCACAATAAAACAATTTTTAATTGTGTGTGCGCTGAATGATGCATGCCAGAATTTGTTTTTATTTATTCAAATATAAAAAAAAACATAGAATAATTGCGTGTGTCTCCATTAGGAGGATATAATGATTTTTGAAGCACAAAATGACAAAATAATCGCCAACACTTTTCCAATATTGTGCAAATGTATGACGTCATATACTGTCCTATGTTTTGGAACGAATCACCAGTATAGCGTCGATTCATGACGTCATTTGCATTGGACAGTACACAGGGTTCTATTTTGGAACATACCCTAGAATGCAGTGACATCCAATTTAAAATAAATATACAGAGTTGTAAAATCCCCCAAATTGAAATAGTACAATGGTATTTAATATAAAAATAGAGAAATCCTTACATGGTCAGTATATATATGTATTTTGTACAAAATGGTTTATTATTATTTTAGGCGTTTATATTACAATACTAAAAAGTAACTATTTTAGCTCTTAATAGATATAGGACCGTTAAAAACAAATGCGACAGAGATGACACTACGATTCCGAAATTCACCAATTGTCTCATTCTTAAGCTCGGTGTGTAAAAATAACTGACGGGTGCCTATGAATTTTTTCTCTATATGAGCGATTGTTCGTGTGGTAGCGACGTCAGTAGGCGACTATAGTAAATGTCAGAAAAATAAAGTTTCCAATAGATGGCATTAAAATCATCTCAAGTATACCAGAACTAAAACACCGAATAACAAAGGATAGCTTCAAGGTGCGATATTTCTGCTACTTTGATCGCCAAACCGCCTACTAAGCTTGGCAATTATGGAAAATTCTACCTACACGTGGGAAGCCCTGTCTCTGTCTTACGGGTTATTAAAGGAGAAAGACAGAAATGGACTAAAATATCGAGTAAAGAAAAATCATTAAAACAAGTATAGCAAGTATCATAGAGCAACACGGGCCACCGGAAGGGGAGTCAAAATATAAGTCCACGCGATTCTATGCGTGCAAATAAACTAGTTGCAGCCGCACCACTCTCTAGATTTAATCAAGTTGCGCGGCTGAATCGACGTCCTGCAAAAATGCCGAATTGTTCAGTTTATTGCTGCAAAAAGAGATCTTACACGTCAAATTTACAAAACGTTAACATGGTAATCTAATTAATAATCACATTATTGCTATTTACTTATTTTTAAACTTAAAAATTACAAGAATAAAGGTCTTGGCATTTCAGTTTACCAGCACAGTCCGCTCGCTCTGATACAATATGCAGATCAGTCGAGAGACTGACCCTAGTCTGTATCTAAGTTCTCGCTGTCACCGAGCGATACTGTTAGAGTGTATCTGTGTGTGTGTGTAATATTGTTTTAATTGTTATATCTGAGTTTCGTAGTGACGGACGATTGTTTTCGTATATTATAGCTTATTAGCAGCTCTGTGAACTTGAAACCCGAACTAAAAAAATATATTAAACTCGATACGCGTACTACAAACGACGCAGGCGATTGTATCTAATACCGTTTATTTGTTTGTACGAGGGGCACACTGCAATAATCAGGAATAGAATATTTCGGATTGAGTTACAATAAAACTTTTTTTAAATTTGAATACTGGCCTCTTAGAATCTTAATGACATTCAAATAATTAAAAAAATGTAAATGTCTCAGCGAACTTGTTTCGATTTATTATGATGAAGCACCGAGTCAAACGACAATATACCGCTGGTATGCCGAGTTCCGACGCGGTCATGTGTCGCTCAGCACTGTTTCTTCTGCTGGTCGACCAAGAACAGCGGTCACGCCTGAAAACATCGCAGCTGTGCGAACTATTATATTAGACGACCGTCATGTCACATATGAGCACATTCGGGCTGTTATCAGTATCGGAATGACTACAATTCAGTCGATATTACATAATGAGCTGTGTGTAAAAAAGCTAGTTTTCCGCTGGATTCCTCACAATTTGTCCGAAGAGCAAAGGCGGCTCGTGTAGATTGGTGCCGGAATACTCCGCAACGCTTCAACGGAGGGAAGTCAAATGCCATTTATAATATCTTCTCAGGTGATCAATCATGCATTTATTCATACGAACCTGAGAGAAAACATCAGTCAGCAGTTTGGGTCTTCGAAGGCGAGGTCAAACCAACGAAAGTGGTTCGCTCCCGCAGCGTGTCTAGAAAAGGGGCATGTTGCTACAATTCCTCTACAGGAACGCAGAACGGTTAGCGGTATATCACTTTTGTTTGCCAGAAATTATAGCCTAACTTCGAAAAAATAAGCCGAAACGTCGCATCATCTTACATCACGATAAGCTCGCATTATACCATACGGCTCGGAAGACAAATGATTTTTAAAGCAGGAAAACGTTGAGCCGATGAGCCATCCTCCGTACAGTCCTGACCTGAGCCCAAACGATTTCTTTACATTCCCTATAATGAGAGCCTAATTACGCGTTCAACGGTTTGAAGACTCCGAAGCAGCTGTGGAAGCGTACAAATCAGCCATTTTGTCAACATCAACTACAGACTGGAATTACTGTTTCAATGATTGGTTTGCACGAATGGAAAAGTGCATTACGTTGAACGGCGAATACTTCGAAAAACAATAAAATACAATTTAGCTATACCGTGCATGTGGTTTTTCTAATTCCCGATCATTTCAGTGTGTCCCTCGTAGTCCTGAAAATCATGTAAAAACAACTAAAAATAATAGTCTTTTAAAGGAAATCAAATAACTTTTAGAAAATCTTGATTACCAATGCGTTCAGAATCGTTTGTAATTCATCGTGTTCACGAAAACATTTTCAGGGGAAAGCCCGTTTTTGGCCATGGAACGGTCAACATTTTGCATTTGTTAAAAAATTTATTTTATTAATTTTTAAATATTTTTATTGCACTGTAAAGTTTTCTTTGACATAAAACAGGATATATATTTTTCTATTTTCCTCCAACTCTTTTGCCGTTATTTTGTTTATGACAGACTTGTTACTGAGACCATCATGTATTTCCCATTTACCTGATTGTCTTCTTCCAATAGTTCGGTAATGGTCCATATCAAGTAATTTTATGTGTTCAATTACCGCTACTAAGACGAAACTTCTTTCAAAAATTATTAAGATGTGCGGTGTATTGTGAAGTGAAATTTTGTCATAATTTTCGTTGGAATCATTAATTATATTCGGTACACACCCCCGCTAGTAAAAACCTTCGATTATTGATGAGATAACTCTTTATCTTTTCAATTTTGCATCGGCTGCAACCGTTATCCGTTATTTATGGTGGTTGATCTTGCAATATAGAGTCGATAACTGTTCCTACATTCATTACTGCATTGACAACCGCCTTCTGGTTTTTTATAAGATTCCCGTTTCTCATAAATTTCACTGGTTTTCCTGTGACTTGAAATTAGTTTCACAATTTCAAACACTTTGGAATTACTTTTGTTCACGTGCGCATTGTAATTGTACCGATCAATGTATCCAACACGGATAGTATGAAGAACACTATCCACAGCTGTGTACTAATTTTCATTAATCCATGACTCAAGGTAACGGGATTCACGCTCATCCCGTTAACTATTAATCGGAGAGATCTTTTTAGATTTTGGCAGTTTATGAAAATTTTTAATATCTGAAACCGTTTGGAAATAGTGGCTGGGTTTTTTCTTGTTGAATAATATTCCTTTCCACTCATCGACGTGATTCAAATAATTGTAAGGAACATTTGAAGAATTTGCGGGTACTTTTTCTTCAAGATATACCTTTTAACTGGTCTTTTTCTTCAATTGAGCAATTTTTATCACCACCATCATTGTCTAAAGTAGAACTACCAACTGGATTTTTGTTAAGAGTCTGAATCACTCAGTTCTGATAGGAGAGGATTCATAGCGGGTTTCACACATATGGCTAACATTAAGTTTTATATTTTCATCCATCTCCATATCACAAAAATAATTTTCACTAGAAACTGATATAGCCTCACTAACATGTGTATCTTGTTCTTTTTAAATGTTATTATTCTTAAATCTTGATTTTTACTCATAAGACATACTATCATTATCAATAATTTCTTTTGTTTTACAAAAAAAAATTATCCTATTCTTTATCCATTCTTATGTTTATACTTAGTAAAAGCTGCATCTGATTCAATATTTGGTTCTTTTTTAAAATTGTCATTATCTAGATTGGCTTGTATATCACCAAATGAACTAACGTCACTATCTATAATTTTTGCTTTACGAAAATTCTTTATCCTATTTAGTCTTGCACTTGTATCACATGAAGAATCTTCCTTAGAATTAGTTAAAGTTACATCTAGTTCAGTATTTGGTTCTTTCTTAATGTTGTTAATATTTAAATGAAATTGTTTTGAGTACACGAGCTGATATCACTGTCACTACTATTGATAGAAGAACTTAATTCTGAATCTTGCTCACTATCAATCTTATTTTTAACATTTGTCTGAGCTCCAACTAAATTCATGGTGCCTTTTAAAGCATTTAAATGAATTGATAAAATATTTATCAATTTTGAGGTCTTTTTGATTATTAAAAATTAACTTTTTTACATCTTTAAAATATTTTTCACTGATGGCTGAACTTGCAGTAGTAATATTATCCAACTGTAGTAAAGTTAACTTTTTCTTATAAAATAAATATAGCACCACTGCAGACCATAACACAAAGTTCTTTGAAAAATTAATAAGCCGTTGGGCAAAATCAAGATTGTAACATTTGTTATCATATCAAGGTTACCTCTGTTTTTTATTTGACATTTAATTTGTAATGCTTCTAAAAAATCTTTAACTGGTCGAGATTTTTTATTTCTTTTCCTTTTTTTAAGATTTTCAACCTCTTCTTGTTGATCGACGACGGATAACTCAATATAAAAAAATTTTGGGTTTGACCCAGTCATATTCAATAAATTTTTACGATAATTGAAACATAAATTATCATCATTTTCTTCATAATTTTGGGCATAAGCAAATCTTCTAGTGTTGAGCTTTTTACCAGAAATCCTTAGCATCTCACATAAAAGTCTTTATGATGAATTTTATTCAAACATGACCATTTCGTTACAAACTTGATCAAATGAGCTATGTCGACTCTTAGGATTGTTTCTTTATTAATAAATGGCTGATCGCTAGTTATTTGATCGAAATATTAATCCACATATTTATTCAAAGACGTTTGGTTGAATGCGATTGAAGATTAGCGCCAGTGAGTAATCAGAGACTATTTGTTTCGGAGCTTTCACACCGGAGCGGAGCCATTCCCTCAACCAATATGAAAGAGAATTTGCATCATGCTTTGCTGAAATTAATTGAAACAAGTGCAAAGATTTGTTGTTGTATGATGCAATAGCTTGGTAGAGAGAAATGGGAGGTTCAGAGCCATCCGACATCAACGCAGACTTTATCAAACTTCCAGTTTCGTATTCAGGATCGTGTTTCAAAAATAAATCAAATAAATACACCTGTTCGGGTAACCAGTACATTACGTACAATCGATCGGGTGCAATCTCTCGAATACTTCCACGGTATTTAGGATTTTTTGTAACTCATAACTGCAACTACTTCGTTTGCTGTTGTTTAGCTTTTCTTAATACATAATCGTTGAACAAATCGGCGGGTTCCTGGTCTTGAAAAGTCATGCGCTGATTAGCAACATTTCGTCGATACATATATATCGATTGACCTTTGATTGATTTTTTTTGTTGTTTTTTGTTTTTTTATCTTTTTTTATCTTTTAAAACCTCATGAAATTCTACAGGAGTGTAGAGTGGTTGACGTGGCATTTTGGACCACTATGTTAATGAGCGAAGGTCTGTCTATAAATAACATCAACATATTCAGTAAAAAGAAGATTGAATGTGTGAAATAATAGTTAAAACAACCTAAAAAATAACAAAGTATAATAGAAAAAGAATTGTAAACTTCCTTACATTGATGAATTTTGTGTAATATTCAGACGTTTTTTATAAAATATTGAAAACAACTAACATTCACTGTGCATGTATAAGACGCCATAGAATACTGTAATGAAAACTGAAAAGCATAGATAAAACATTATATACCAGATATGGAGTGTAGATATCTATACTCCATGATACCAGAAAATGAAAAGGAAGTAAATGTGGGTGCAAATCGCCATCTATCAGCAATAATTGGCTAATATTTATATTTATGTTTTAGTTTATCGTTTAAGTGAATATTTATATAAATATCCGAAATATATAAGATATAAATTCAAATAGTTACATGTAAAACAAAAAATTAAATTTTATTTTATAATAAACGTTCCTATTAAAAATATCGGAAATAATGAATGACACTATATATTTTTATCTTTATAACTCTCATAAAATAAAAAATCTACAATATTTTTATTACAATCATCTACAAACGAATGCATTGATAATCAAGATTTTTAAAAAATTATCATATTTCATGAAAATTTACAACTTTTAGTGATATTCATAAGATTTTTAGGACTACAAACGAATAAAGGTTATTACAATCACCTGCGTAGTTTGTAGTACGCGTATCGATTTTTACTTTTTTTTTTAGTTCGGGTTCCAAGTTCACAGAGCTCTTATTAGCGCATATTTCCCCTAGCAATAATGATTGACAGTTCTGTATCGGCGTAAAACGCTATGGTTACTCCCCTACGGTCTGCCGGTGAGCCGTTTTGCTCTATGGCAATTATAGTTAGCGTTATTTAATGCTTAAAACAATTTAATTAAAAAAAGGCATAATACATATAGAAACTAATTATATTTCATGTTATATGAGTATAAATGTTAAAAGTTATTTTTGCTGGGAATAAGACAACGTACGATTTAAAATATATAGGTAAATATTAAATAACATTTATAGTATTTACCGTAAAATGTTCTATTGCAAGCGCCACAATTGAGAGTTGTTCGCAATTTGAAATGCTAATTCAACACTTGCTCTGTGTTGCAGAGAGAGATGATTAAAAAATAGCAAAGCTTGTGGCTTTCGATGCTGGACTGTAAAGGTCTGCTGGTTGAGAGAAAGGGCGTTCGTTAAAATAATTGCACGCCTACCTTATCACCGCCGTCCTCGCAGATCTTCCACGCTTCGGAGACAGGTTTTGCTAAGTCGTAGACGAGCTGACGTTTCTTCCTCTCTTTTGCGGACACAAAACTTCACTACTTTAGTTTGCTTAAGCACTAGTACGCGTCGCGGTTTCTGCTTCTTCGATTACAGATTGACTCGTGCGACAGTTCTCAGTGGTATGATATATATATATATATATATATATATATATATATATATATATATATATATATATATATATATATATATATACTAGGCGTGCGGTTGAGGGGGAAACGAACGCCCGAAATATGGATTTAAAGGAGGGTAAATTTAGAAAAAATGCATTATATAAAATAAACTAGATGGCGCCAACACTAAGTATTTGAAAATTATTACGAAGACACGAAAACGCCAACACGCACTGAACCTTTCCCTGCTCTAACGTCCTCTTAGAAATTACAGAAAGCCTATGTCCAACAGTGTGACACATAATTGCTGTTTGTACTTACTTTTATTTTACCGCATAACATTTTACGCAGAAAGTACATAATGTAAATAAAAACATTGTGTATACAATGTTTGGAAGGAGAAACAACTTCATAAGTCACAAAACATTAAAATGCGTACCAACATTCACATGCTGCAGGTTAGGGTTGGCGCGCACCACGGCGACGGCAGCAATCGTGCCGATGTCCGTGCGGTACAGATCCAGCCGCCTCAGTTGCTTCAGTGTTGCCAGGCATATCCAATCAGTGCACCCCACGACCGATCGCAAGCACAGCTCTGGAATATAAATATTATTCGTAGTTATATAGAAAGTATTGCCGTAAATAATTAATAAAAATGTGATCATAGAAAACGTACTACGAAGATAGTGATTTCATTATAACACACTCTTCATTTTAATGTTAACGCGGAATTAAACATTCAAAAATAAAATTAGCAATACACAGACGTTGTACATATGCGACTGCCACACAAGTTCGCCTTATACCTAGCAAATAGCCTGTCTTCCTTTGTCTGTCCGATTAACATCTTAAGAATCGCTGAACCCATTGTGGTGAAACTTCACGAATAAATAGAAAGCGAAGCGAGGATTGATCTAGGCTATATTGTATCCAGTTTTTTCTAGGCTATATTGTATCAGTTTACAGCGGCTCGTAATGGAAAATATCAATCGCTATGGAAATACAAAATATTCCAAAAAAAAAACAAACTTGGTACATACTTGACCAAGGTAAGATATTATTTTATAATCACAGATTTTCATTACAATATATTGTTTCGCTAAAAGTACGTAGGATTTATACAACATGTAACAAAAACCCTGTGGTTCCCGTTAAGTGTGCTATCAGAATCAGTATCCAATCTTATAGAAATAACTTTTTTTTTTGCTTGGATACTGATTCTGATAACGCAGTTAACGGGAACCACAGGGTTTTTGTTACATGTTGTATATAAATACACTTATACGTCTTGGAGTTTGTGGAGACCTGAGTGAATGCTAAATTAAAATACCGGTTAGATATGACGAAATGAAAAACTTTTTGAAAACGAAATAAAGTTGATGAGAAAAAGAAATTATTAATGAATCGGGTAAAAAAGACTAGATTTTACGATAGTGCCTTCTTATTTTTTTAAAAACGTTACCCTCATACTAGGATTTTCTCCTGTATCGTGGGGGCAGTTTACATACATAAATTGCACAAGGACAAACATCCAGATTCGGGACAATTACTTGTGAAGCCATACAAATACTTGTTACGTGCGGGATTCGAACCCGCGGCCCTTAGCGCTATAACTCATTGCTAAGCAACTGTGCCTCAGATGCTGTCATTCCTGAGTCCAAATACCTAAAAATTTAAATAATAATAAAGATGATTTCCGATCGTATTAAAATAATTCTCTTAAAAGTTGATTTGCGTAGATCGGACCAAAGACAATAATTAAAAAGCTGAAGGTACTCCGGGTTAACTTTGACATCGGGACGTCAGTCACCTCAGTCCCCCGTGACCATGGGTGCTGGAAAGCACCCGAAACGTCGGGTATTAAAATTAATATAAAGAAAACGCGATAAAATCCGTAAAAGTAGTTTTAATCAATGTATTGTGTTCGCAGTAAATATAAGAAATCATTATGTAACTCTTAAAAGTTTTTTTCATAATGATTTCTTATATTTACGCGAACACTACACATTGATTAAAGCTACCTTTACGGATTTTATCGCGTTTAATTTAAAATTATTTTTACTTCTCGACGTTTCGCATCACAAGTCTGCAGTTTGTGATCATATCCTAGGCGGCCCCAACCATTACATCAAATTTGATAGACCATAATCCTCACGAAAGAACATCGATTCCTACCAAGGACGATACGTGAGGCTATTGAAATTAAGAAACATTCTAATTCCAATAGAGAAGGATGGGTTTTACCACCTGCTTACAGGGTCCCACCCTGTAATTAATAAAATTAAAACTAAACCCAAGCATACCACTGCAAGATTTCAAGACACAGTAAGTTTATTCCGCGTAGATCGGACCATAAATAATAATTTAAAAGCAGAAGGTATTCCGGGTTAACATTGATATTGGGACGTCATTCACCTCAGTCCCCCATGACCACGAGTATTGGAAAGCACCCGAAACGTCGGGAAATTAAACCCGATGAAATCCGTAAAAATAGTTTGAATCAATAAGTTTTTTCAATTAACAATATTAAAAAAAATTAATATCAATAGTAATAACGTAGTAAAATTAAATAAAATATTTTCCATTGTTGATTGAGATTTTTTCTACATTTTTTCACGATCATATGAGTCGTGCACTTCTGGATTTTCCAAACTTTTTTTTTGAAGTCTGACTTATAACTATCGGAAAATTTGAAATGATAGTAACAAGGCTATTTTTGAGAACTTGTATGTATTTACAATACTTTAAAAAATTGACGTATATCATGAGCGCTTAATGCATGCACATTTGGATTTACCAAAAAATTTTATTTTAAATTATTAGTCCAACAATTTATCTATTTAAATTAATGATTTCTTATATTTACGCGAACACTACACATGATTAAAACTACTTTTACGGATTTTATCGCGTTTATTTTACTTTTAATTACTTTTATTTTTAATTCCCGACGTTTCGGGCGCTTTCCAGCACCCATGGTCACGGGGGACTGAGATGACTGACGTCCCGATGTCATTGTTAAACCCGGAGTACCTTCAGCTTTTTTAATTATTGTTTATGGTCCGATCTATGCAAAATGAACTGACTATGTCCTGAGGTCTTGCAGTGGTATGCTTGGGTTTAGTTTTAATTTTATTGATTATAGGATCCCAAGCAGGTGGTAGTACCCAGCCTCCTTCTTTATTGAAATTAGGATGTTTCTTAATTTCAATAGCCTCACGTATCATCCTTGGTAGAAATCGGTGTTCTTTCGCGAGGATTTGTGGTCTATCAAATCTGATGTAATGGTTGGGGCCGTCTAGGATATGATCGCAAACTGCAGATTTCCCGGAACGTTGATGCTTCACACGCGATAAAATCCGTAAAAGTAGTTTTAATTCAATATTTAAATTAATCTATAAAATAAATAAATCTATAAATAAATCTAATTAATAATTAATCTATAAATAAATCTAATTAATTTATAATATTTTCAAGTATTTTTTGAAGTGAAAATTCTTTGCGCGCGATGAGGGTAACTTTTCAAGGCCGCGTCACGATAATAATAATATGAGCGTCAGATTTTAGTGCGACGATTTTAAAGGAGACAAATTTCCCACCACTTATTTTAATGAAATGCATGTAGATTTATTCCTTATAATCTATAGATTACAATAGTATTATAGTTTCACTTTTGATTTGCGTACTCTGTACACGCGCTGTTTTTTTTCTTAAGAAATATCTAACTTCTGTTCAATATTCTAGACAAGGCATACCAGTCATTGTCATGAGACTGACAAAAGGCCAAGTATGTCAAGATATAAACAATGATCAGTTGAATAAATAACAATCTCCGTGAGTATAATTGCCAATTCTAAGTGAAAACAATACATTAGGAAGCCCTTTCATATCCATTGGTAATAAATAATTATGTATGAAATAAACATAATAATTAGCATTATTTTTTTAAATGATTGAAGGCGAGTTAAGCTCTTTCACTCATTTTATTATTATCCTTGTAATACATTAACAAAGTATTCAACAAAATTAATTTCAATTAAGTAACGTAATTTGTTAACCCTTTAGTGACAAGTAAAGTCTAGATTAAGTAAAAATAAATTTCGCATTCTGGCAAGAGCCCTAACTGTACACTGTTGTCTTAAAAACCACATGTCCATCCTGGGACTAAGCAACTCAAGGATGTGTCGGTTCTGTTCCATAACAGAAGAAACACCTCTACACATCCTAACTGATTGCGGACCCTTAATGCGCAAACGTAACACTCATCTGGGAAACTATGTAATGCGCCCAGAAGAAGTGAAATTGCTCACGGCTAAGCAACTCCTTCTATTCATTGAAGACATATGGCTTAGGCGTGAACTATAGCCATAGCAGCGATCACAATAGATCTTCTAGGTCGCAGTGATACTGGTCTCTTTCCCTAGACCTGCATAGCTGCTCGCACTTAATTAAAAAAAATAACTCTCTAGTGGCGGTGTAAGAATATCCAATACCCGACATAGACAGAGGGAAAAAACCAAGGTGATGAGCAACTGCATTTTTCAAATAACAACCAAAAAATAAAAAACTTCCAACCAATCGTGGCGACTATGTATCCCCCCCCCCACCCCCTCCCCATGAGGAAATCTATGTGGAGGCCCTATGTGCAGCAGTGCAGTAAATTTGATAGGCGGCAACCGTTACATAATTTTAATACACCATATATAAACAAACGCTTCCCCTATAGTAGAAGTGGACTTTTTTTAAACGTGATAGAGCCACTATGCAGCTATATGGTTGTAGTACGAATGGGTCGGCTCGACCGCGGTAGTACCACGCTCTCGCAGAACACTAGCTTAAAATAGCAGCTTACAGCTGCTGTGTTTCATACGGTGAGTGTAGAGAACCGAAAACCCTTTTACTGGAATCGAGGCATTCCATCTTAGTCCTCAGGGGTTAAAACGCATCTGCATTTTGATTTTTCATTCTTAATCAAAGATAAAGGTATCTATAAAAAAAATTCTATTAAAAAAATCTAACTTCGACCAAGAGGTCAATCAACTCGACTTAAAAGCGTTCGAGATATAGAAACATCTCGTCAAACCTACAATCTCTTTTCTGTTTTTTTCATCAGATATCTTCCAGGGAAAGTGCCGTCAAAATTGTTTTAGCTATTTCGGAGATTAGCCAGAACAGACAGAAACAAAATTGTTAAAAATTGTTCTTTTGTCATGTATACAAATAAATATAATTGAAGAGTCTGTTTGTAATGTCAAAATAACAGCTTTTTATTAAATGCATATGAAATTATATACGGTACTTATAACAAAAACACAAGTTTTAACAATTTTGTGTGTCTGTTTGTTCCGCTTATCTCCGAAATAGCTTTGAACAACTTTGACGAGACTCAGTGACAGATGGCTGACGTTTTAAAGAATAACTTAGGCTACTTTTATTTTTGCAAAAAAAAACCTAAACTACACGCGGACGAAGTCGCGGAGAACAACTAGTACTTTCATATACATTTACTAAGAAGCTGTTATTTTGACATTACAAACAGACAGTACAATTTTTTTGTTTAGATTTTACTTATTCCTTCCTGTTTAAATTTCAAAA